TGTTGTTGTTGTTGTTGTTAAGTGCCGTTGAGTCGGTTCCGACCCATAGCGACCCTGTACAGGGTTTCCGAGGGTGTAAATCCTTATGGGAGTAGAAAGCCTCATCTTTCTCCCACGGAGCGGCTGGTAATGATAGCTGACTTTTTTTCTCTTTTCTATATTTTAATGATTTTTAATTAATAGATTTTATTTTTAGAACCATTTTGATTTTCAGAAAAACTGCACAGATATATAGTACAGAGTTCCTATATACCCTTCCCTCCTCCATACACAGTTTTCCCTAGTATCAACAAACGGTACATTTTTTTTATAATTAATGGCCACTATTGATGCATAATTACTGATTCATTAATACCAAAAGCTTACAGTGAGCCCTGAAGTTGCACTGTAGGATTAGCACTGGACTACTAACAGCAAGCTCAACAGTTCAAACCTACCAGTCATTCTCAGAAACCCTATATAAAGAACACTATGAGAACCAACTCAGTGGCACAAAACAACATAGCTTACATTACGGTTCGTTCTTTGTGCCTTATAGTTGTATGGGCTTTGACGAATGTATAATGTTATGTAGCTATCCTTACACTGTTATACAGAATAGTTCCACACTGCTGAAAACCCCTTGTTGATTTTGTCCTCCTTTCCCTTGAATCCAAGGGAACCACTGTTCTTTTTACTGTCTCTAACATGTTTACCATTTCCAGGATGTCATATAGTTGTAAACATACAGCATGTCACCTGTTCAAATGAATGTCTCTACTTAGCAATATTCATTTATGTTTTCTCCATGTCTTTTTGTTGACTTGAAGAACGTATCTTGGATCGCTTCTAATTTGGGGCGATTTAGGAATAAACTTTCCATAAACATTTGTTTACAGGTTTTTGTGTGGACAAAAATGAGCAAATATTTCCAAGCACAGTTGCTGGATTGTATGGTAAAATTGTGCTTAGCTTTGTGAGAAACTGTCAGGCTATCTTCCAAAGTGGCTGTACCATTTGCATTTCTACCAACAATGAGTGAGAATTTCTGTTGCTCCACATCCACACCAGCATTGAATTTTGTCAGTGTTTTCATTTTAGTCCTTCTAAAAAGTGTGGTGTTATTGTTATGTCCGATTCCCACTCATAGCGACCCTGAATGGGGTTTCAGAGGATCGGTTGGTGAATGAATGACCAGCCTGGTGTGGCACTGTGGGTTAATGCACTGGACTGCAAAGTTGGTTTGAACCACAGGGTCAGCGGTTCAAGATCACCAGTCGCTCCTCAGAAACCCTGTACAGGGTTTCTATGAATTGGAACCGAGTGTCTAAGGAGTATCTGGTGGGTTTGAACTGCCGACATTGTGGTTTGAAGTCCAGTGCTGATCCTACAGTGTCACACCAGGAGTCCAAGAAGTATGTTGTGACATTTCATTGTTCTAATTTGTGATTTCCTAAATTTAGCATTTTTTCAGATGCTTATTTTCATCTGTATATCTTCTTTGGTGAGGTGCCTATAGAGATATTTAGTCCATTTTTAAATTAGGGTGTTTTCTTATAGCTGATTTCTTAGTTCTTTGTGCTCCTTAAATGCAATCTAAAATGTGTTTTGAAAATACTTTCTTAAAGTATATGGTTTGCCTTTTCATTCTCTTAATGGTGTCTTCCACAAAGCTTGATGTTGTTGTTAGGGGTCATCCAGGTACCGACTCATAACGACCCTATGTACAACAGAACAAAACACTGCCTGGTCCTGCACCAACCTCATTATCATTGCTACATTTGAGCCAATCACTGCTGCAACAATGTCAGTCCATTTCATTGGATGCCTTCCTATCTTTCTCTGACCCTCCACTTTACCAAACATGATCTTCCTCTACAGGGACTGGTCCCTTCTGACAATATGTATGAAGTATGAGAGATGAAGTCTGGCCATCCTGGCTTCCAGGGAGCATTCTGACTGTACTTCTGACACAGATTGGTTTGCTCTTTTGGCAGTCCATGATACTTTTAATATTCTCCAACACCATAATTCAAATGCACCAATTCTTCTTTGTCGTCATTATTCACTGTCCGACTTAAGCATGCATATGAGGTTATTGAAAATACATGGCTTGGGTCAGGTGCACCATAGTCCTCCAACTGACATCCTTGATCTTCAACACTTTAAAGAGGTCTTATCAGCAGATTTTCCTAATGCAATATTTCATTTGGTTTCTTGGCTGCTGTTTCCATGAGTGTTGATGGCTGATCATAGCAAAATTAAGTCTTTGATAACATCAATCTTATCTCCATATATCAGGATGTTACTTATTGGTCCAATGGTGAGGATTTTTGTTTTCTTTACATTGGGGTACAACCCATACTGTGGTCTTTAATCTTCATCAGTAAATGTTTTCATTTCTCTTCACTTTCATCAAGCAGGGTTGTATCATCTGCATATAGCAGGCTGTTAATGAGTCTTCCTCCATGTTTTTCTTTATACAATCCAGCTTCTTGGATTATTTATTTAACATACAGATTGAATAAGTATGGTGAAAGACTACAACCCTGGTGCACATCTTCCCTAATTTTAAACTATTCAGTGTTCTCTTGTTCTGTTCAAGCAACTGTCTCTTGGTCTTTGTACAGGTTCCTCATGAGCACAACGAAGCATTTGAGAATACAAATTCTCCACAATGTTGTCCATAGTTTTCATGATTCACACAATCAAAAACAGCCTTTGCATTGATTCATATACTCAATAAAGCACAGATAAACATCTTTCTGGTATTCTCTGATTTCAGCCAAGATCTATCTGATGTCAGCAATGATATCCCTCATTCAACGCCCTCTTCTGAATCTGGTTTAAACCTCTGGAAGTTTTCTGTTAATATATGGTTATAGCTATTTTTCAATTATCTTTGGTAAAATTTTGCTTCCCTGGGATATTAATGATATTGTCCAATGATTTACACATTCCACTGAGTCACCTATCTTTGAAATGGGCACAAATGTGCATATCTTCCAGTCAGTTAGACAAGTAGTTGTCTTCAATTTTTTTTTGGTATTGATGAGTGAGTGCTTCCAGTGCTGCATCCATTTGTTGAAAGATTTCCATCAATTCCTGGAGCCTTGTTCTTTGTCAATTCCTTCAATGCACCTTGGACTTCCTCCTTCAGTATCATTGGTTCTTGATAATATGCTACCTCCTGAAATGATTGAACGTTGACCATTTTCTTTTTGTACAGTGACTCTGCGTATTTTGATGCTTTCTGCATCATTCAATATCCTGCCCATGTCAGTTGTTGTTAGATACCATTGAGTTGGTACCGACTCATAACAACCCAATGCACAATAGAAGAAGCACTGCCCGGTCCTGGACTAACCTCACAATTGTTGCCACACTTGAGCCCATTGATGCTACCACTTTGCCAGTCTATCTTGCTGGGGGTCTTTCTCTTTTTCTCTGACCCTCCACCTTACCAAACATGATATCCTTCTCCAGAAACTGGTCCCTCCTGACAATACGTCCAAAGTATGAGAGACGAAGTTTGCTCCAAGGAGCATTCTGGCTGCAACTCCTCTAACACAGATCTGTTTGTTTTTTTGGCAGTCCATGGCACTTTCAATATTCTCCTCCAACACCATAACTCAAAAGCATCAATTCTTCTAAGTTCTTCCTTGTTCACTGTTCAACTTTCACATGCATATGAGGTTTTTGGAAATACCATGGCTTGGGTCAGATGTACCTTAGTCCTCAAGCTGACATCTTTTTAAAAAGGTCTTGTGCAGCAGATTTGCCTAATGCAATGCGTCGTTTGATTTCTTGACTGCCGCTTCCATGAGTGTTGATAGTTGATCCAAGAAAAATGAAGTCCTTGACAACTTCAATCTTTTCTCCATTGATAAGAATGTTGTTTATTGGTCCAGTAGTGAAGATTTTTTGTTTTCTTTACATTGAGATGCAATCCATACCAAAGGTTGTGGTCTTTGATCTTGATCAGTAAGTTTTTTAAGTTCTCTTCATTTTCAGCAAACAACATTGTATTATCTGCATATCACATAGATTCCTGCCCATTGAATCCTTCAATATTGCAAGTCAAGACTTGAAATTTTTCTTCAGTTTTCGTAGCTTGAGGAATATTGAGCATATTCTTTCCTTTTGGTTTTCTAAATCCATTTCTTTGAAAATTCATTATAATACTTGACTTTATCTTCTCGAGCTGACCTTTGACATTTTCTATTCTGCCATTTCATGTCTTCATTTCTTCCATTTGCTTTAGCATCTTTATGCTGAAAAGCACATTTCAGAGTCTCTTCTGACATCCATTTTGGTCTTTTCCTTGTTTCTTATCTTCTTAATGACCTTTTGCTTTCTTCCTGTATGATGTTCTTGATGTCATCCCACAACTCTTCTGGTCTTCAGTCTTTAGTGTCTAATGCATCAAATCTGTAGTTCAGATGGTCTCTAAATTCAGGTGAGATGTATTCAAGGTCATATTTTGGCTCTTGTAGACTTGTTTTCATTTTCTTTAGCTTTAGTCTGAATTTGCATGTGAGCAAATAATGGTCTGTTCCACATTCTGCCCTTGACCTTGTTTCTGCTTATGATATGGTGCTTTTCCACCATCTCTTTCCACAGATGTAGTGTATTTGATTTCTATGTGCACTACCTGGTGAGGTCCATATGAATAGCCATCTTTATGTTGTTTAAAAAATGTGTTTGCAGTGATGAAGTCATTGGTCTTCAAAATTCTATCATATCCAATATCTTTTCTGTCACCAAGGCCATATTTTCCAACTACTAATCCTTCCTCTCTGTTCCCAACCTTTGCATTCCAATCACCAGTAAGTATCAATTCATCTTGATTACATGTTTAATCTATTTCAGACTGAATAAGTTGGTAGAATTCTTCAATTTCATCTTCACTGGCTTTAAGGGGTTGGCATGTAAATTTGAAAAATAGTTTTATTAACTGGCGTTCCTTGTTTATTGTTGTTGTTAGGTACCATCAAGTTGGTACCGACTCATAGCGAACCTATACACAATAGAATGAAACACTGCCCAATCTTGGGCCAACCTCACAATTGTATGGATATTATCCTATCACAGACAGCACTGTACTTCAAGACAGATCTTTACATGTTCTTTTTAATGATGAATGCAATGCCTTTCTTCCTTAATTTGTCATTCCTGGCATAGTAAATCTTGTGATTGTCAGATTCAAAATGGTCAATGCCAGTCCATTTCAGCTCACTAACGCCTAGGATGTCGATTCCATTTCATTTTTGACAATTTCCAATTTCCCTAGATTCATACTTTATACATTCCATGTTCTGATTATTAATGTGTGTTTACAGCTGTTTCTCTTCATTTTGAGTTGTACCCCCATCAGCAAATGAAGGTCCGGAAGGCTATACTCCATTTGCATCATCAAGTTCAACTGTACTTTGAGGAGGAAGTTCTTCCTCAGTTACATGTTGAGTGCCTTCCAACCTGAGGGTTCATCTTCCAGCACTATATCTGATAATATTATGGTGCTCTTCATCCATGTTTCAGTATTCAATATTCTGGTGCTGACAATGTTCTGTTGTTATTCATAAACTTTTCAGTGACTAAGTATTCAGAAGTAGTCTGTCTCTCCTTCTTCCTAGTCTGTCTTTGTGAAGCTCAGCTGAAACCGGTCCATCCTGACCCTATTGATATTTAAAATACCCGTGGCATAGCTTCCAGCATCACAGCAACATGCAAACCACCACAGTAGGACAAACTGACAGACAAGGGTGGTTTCACAAAGCAGATGTTAATTTTAACAAACTCCAACATCTGTAAGTGTGCATCTATTGTGGGCTTCCTATTCTATCAGGGATTGATTTTTCTGTTCCTTTGCCAGACTACATTATCTTGATACAAAGTCTTGTAATCAGATAATGTCAATTCTCTGACTATGTTCTTCTTCAGTGTTGAGTTGGCTATCCTGGGTCATTGGGCTTTAAAATCAGTCTTCATAAACTTTAAAAGCAATTTATGAATATCTACAAAAGTTTAACTGGCATTACTGTCACTCTAAAAACAAGTTGGGAAGAATTTGATATCTTAATTATTGTCTTAGTGATCTAGTATTGTTATAAGAGAAATACCATACATAGTATTTAACAAACAGAACTCTATTTCTCTCAGTTTAGGAGGATAGAAGTCTGAATTCCAGGCACAGGCTCTAGGAGAAGGTATTTTCTCTGTGTCTTCTCTGAAGACATTTCTTGTCTCTTCTCATTTCTAATCCTGAGCGACTTTCATATGGCTTGTCATTTCCTCTCATCCCAGATCTGCTAGCTCCTTTAAACAAGCTTTCATATCTCAAAAGGAGTCCCGGTGTGGCACTGCAGGATAAGCACTTGACCTCAAGGTACTCACCAGCCAGCTGCTACTCAGAAACTCTATTCGTTGTTGTCAAGTGCTCTTGAGTCAGTTCCGACCCATAGCGACCCTGTATAGGCTTTCCAAGGAGCAGCTGGTGAGCTTGAACCGCCGACCTTGAAGTTCAAATGGCTTTGCAGTCTGGTGCATTAACCCGCAGCACCACAACAGACCAGAAACTCTATACAGGGTTACTATTAGTCTGAAATGACCTATGGCTCTTAACAACAAATCTTAAAAGAGAAAGATTCAAGACACGCCCTACACTAAACCTTTTCATTAGCATAACAAAGACAACCCATTCTCAGATGGGATGATAACCACAGGCAAAGAGGTTAGGATTTACAACTCATATGTTGGGGAGACACAATTGAACCTATAACAGAAGTTGCTATTATTATCCATGTACTTGAAATACCTCTCCATTTATTTAAATCTTTGATTCCTTTTATCAAAATTTTGTAATCTTCCTCAGGTAGATCCTGTTCATATTTTGTTAGATGTGCCCTGGTGTGGTGCTGTAGGACTGAAAGTCAATTTGAACCTAAAGGTTGGCAGTTCAAACCTACCAGTCACTCCTCAGAAACCCTATACAGGGTCACTACAAGTCGAAACCAACTTGATGGCACTTAACAACAAATACCTAAGTATTTTATTTTTGTATTATTTAGCACTTATTTTCATGATATACTTTTATAATTTTTGTTGCTGTTAAGTGCTGTCGAGTCAGTTCCGACCTTGTATAGGGTTTCTGAGGAGTGACTGGTAGGCTTGAACCACCAACTTTGCAGTTCAAGCCAACCTTGCAGGTCTTCTTTAATTCTTAGTACAATGTTATGAGATAGCTACTATATTATCCACACTGGACTGATGATAAAACTGATATCCAAAGAGGTTAAGTAACATGCTCAAGGTCACACAACTAATGAATGGTAAAGTTGAGATTCAAAACCAGACTTTGTGATTCCAGAATCAAAGACCTACTGATAATCATTAGAACATAATGCCTCCCAAACAGTGTACATGATACATATTTGAAACCCAGCAGTGTTGCTCTGAATTCTGGTTTACTTTGGATCACTGACACACAAGTACAAGGAACTCACAGAGCTCTTTCTTCCTTTTCCAGAGACCAGAAGACCGGCCATCCTTCTCCAGTCTGTTGGGTCAACTAGCCGAGATCGCAGAATCAGGACTTTAGCAGAGACTTGGCGTTAGGACATATGTGGGCTGCTGATCCTGAATGGGGGAGGAAGTCCTCTCTCCACAAAGCATTAAATCTGTGCTCAGCCCAGGACTTCCCAGGGACAGCATGGCCTATCACACAGGACCCTGAGCTGCCACAGACACAGTACCCTGACTGTGGCTGAGACTAGGCCACAGGCAGGAAGGTCAACAACCCCTGAGCTGGGAGCTGAGCCAAAACAGCAGCAATGTTTCTGCCCTCCCTCTAGCCTCTTGTCACATGTGGTGCACAAGCCTCAATCTGAAAGCTTCAGGCAACATTTCTTGCACTGCTTCTTAGGGAGAGATTCTGGATTATTATTTTAACCTTGGGTCTAAAGTTTATGGGACAAAGAAACTCTTGAGTGGACCTAGCGACACAGTAATATGATATGCAAGCAAGGGAAAAGAGGGGCATGGCTTTTGCTCTAGGAAAACTGGCGGGTCAGTTCAAATCAGAAAACTTGTACTCTGCAGTCGTAATGCTGTCAGCCACCACTTCCTGCCATCAAGGGTGATGGAAAAGTCTCTCACATCTGAGGTCTGATATTCTGAGTAGCAGTTTTATGAGGTTTTATGAGGGTGCCATCTCTCTCCTTGAAGGGAGCACGCTGAGTGGGCTTCATCGGATGGACTGGGATGAATGATTCAAATTCCACAGTTGAAAGTGTTGAATGCCTTGTGTCTATACTGGCACACAAGAGGGCAGGTGGTGATAGGGAGCCAACTAATACCAAGAAAGGCCTTAGGTTGTTGCTACTGTGATCCTCATCTTTAGTATCAGATGAAGCACATGACTATGCCTTGTCTCTGGACAGGCTTTTCCTGAAGGATCTTAGAAACGATTATTTTGAACACTGCCTCTGACTAAGGACTTAGCCACCATTTTTATTTATTTATTTTTTTTGATTTCTTGGAACCAGTCCCTTCTCTCTGCAATACTCTATCCTTATCAAAAGAGGGTGCCATTGTGCTGGTCAATGTGGGCTCCATGCAGAGAACTAGATGCTTGCTAGGACCCTTAGGTTTTCCATTTATAAGGTTGAGACTTCAAGGCTCCCAAAACTCTTGGAGAGAAGCTCTGTTCTTCCTTAGTCTGGGTGGACAGTAAGATGTGGTCCTCTCAAGATGTACAAAGATGCCTATTGTTGGCCGAGCACTTAAACATGCAAAGCACATGTGTATATATATATGTATCATGTATATAACGTGAACTATGAGTTTTCAAGCAGAACCTCAGTTCATCCTCACACCAAGTGCATGGGATAATATTACTACTCTCATTTTACAGATGAAAGAATTGGGCTTTTAAAAAGTCAGGACACCTGACTAATGTAACACAGCTAGGAAGTACAGAACAGGGATTCTAGCCAAAATCTGTCTGACTCCACTGCAAACAGATTCCCCACTCAACACTGCCTCTTATTGAGGATGAAAGGGATTTCAGAGGAAATACGGACAACAGAGCGAAAGCATATCATAGAAAGCCAATCAAGATGTCATTATGGTACCATCAGGGAATAATTTTGCTGCCACAGGCTACTATGGTTGGCGCTCTGACCCTCCAGCTTGGATTACCACCAGTTGCCCGTTGCTGTGGAGTCAAATCCAGCTCATGGGAACCCTATTGTGTCACAATAGAACTGTGCCCCATAGGCTTTTCAGTGACTGGTCTTTCAGAAGCAGATCTCCAAGCCTTTCTTTTGAGGGGCAACTGGATAGACTTCTACCTCCAACCTTATGTTTAGCTGTCATGTTACCATTTGTACCACCCTTAGCGATGCCACATAGGGCTTCCGAGTCTGTAACTCTTACGGGAGTAGAAAGCCTCATCTTTCTCCCACAGAACTGCTGGTGGTTTTGAACTGCCGACTGTGAGATTAGCAGCCCAATTCATAACCACTATGCTACTAGAGCTTTGTGTGTGTGTGTGTGTGTGTGTGTGTGTGTGTGTATATATATATATATATAGAGAGAGAGAGAGAGAGAGAGACAGAGAGAGAGACAGAGAGAAAGAGTTATATATGTAAAACCTTGGCCATTTTTACATGAATAATTCAGTGACAGTTGAGTTGTTCAGTTAATTAACCTTAAATTCCCCCAATCCACCAAAGTCATGTTGTATGAAGACATTTATAGCTAAGCTTGAAGCCGCTTTAAAAGATTCTCCTGCAAAAATATAAATGCATTCTTTGATTTACTAGGGCAAATTTGAGCTATCATCTTCTCGGATGTTTTGTGCATAAGATTATCCCCTGATCTAACAGAGATTTGTTGTTCCTAGAATGTTTAGACAAAGTATATAGGGAAATTAATACTGTTGCAATAGGTTCTTTCTAATTCATATGCTTTTTTTTTTACTGTCTTGAAATTCAGATGTATTACTGTGAACTATAGTTATTCTGGTATGGCACTGCAGGTTAATGCACTGGACTGAAAGGTCAGTTTGAACCACAAGGTCAGCAGTTCAAGCTCACCAGTTGCTCCTTGGAAGCCCTATACAGGGTCGCTATGGGTCGGAACTGACTCAACAGTACTTAACAACAACAACATAGTTATTGTGAAACTGGAAGCCTCAAGATAAACTTCATCTTGCAGATGATAATCTTATTCAGTCTCTCTGAAATCAGACATTCTCTTTTGTAGCCCTTAATTAGAGGTGATTTCTGAAATGACCTGCCTAGACAGCAGACCTCAGAATTGACAGATCTCTGTGGTCTGGTTTGGAAAATTCCCCTCTATTCTGCATTGTCTTTTTCAAACTCAGATTCATTGGGGCCTTCGCCTGACAAGCGTACACAGTCCACCTCCCAATGACCTACCCCACAAGTATGGGCTTCCTGTCTGGTTTTTATCAATTGCATTTTTAAAACAATGTGGCATTTACACAAAGAATTCCCTTTTGGTTCTAGCTGAATTGTGTAGATTTTGCATTTTTTTATCTTTTGATGTTATATATTTAATGTTTGGGTAGGATGAAATATTTATTAGTATACAGTCGATATAAAATGTTGGTGTTCAAAATAAAAACACGTTACAAATATCTTTTACTTTTTGTAGTGTTCACTAAGTTGAAGGCTGGGCATAACAAATAAAAGTTGTGTGTTTTAATACAGATGGTGTTGGTGACCTGAGTTCGAAGTTTATCCAAATGTTAAGCTCCTGAAACTTTTCCATAACTAAACATGGCTACATAGTTTCATTTTCCACAGACAGGTAAAGACTACACATCATTCAACAGTATTCATTCAACAAGTGAATATCAAATGCTGCCTATGTGTCATACACTGTGGTTGTTGTTGTTGTTAGGTGCCATCGACTTGGCACCGACCCATAGCGACTTTATGCATAGCAGAACGAAACACTGCCCGATCCTGGGCCAACCTCACTATTGTTGCCTTGCTTGAGTCCATCAATGCTACCACTTGACCAATACACTGTGGTAGTTCTGTGGAAATAAAGAATAAAAGGGGCACGTTTTCCTTTCAAGAAACCTCTGTTCTTGTTAGGAAGGCAAACATATAAGCAAATCAATTTATAATACAACAATTAAAACAACAACGTGATGTAGTCGAAGAAGAAAAGAACACAGAGCAAAAGGGATGAAATCTCTCAAGAAAAGAGTAAACTCAGGAGAAAGTTACTAGGGTCTTACTATTCAAAATGTGGTCTCTGGACCAACAACAGCAGCATCCACTTGTCAAAACTGAATCCTCAGGCTTCTCCCCAGACATAGGAGATCATTTTCACAAGCCACATTTAATGTGATTACAATTCACATTAAAGCTTGAGAAGCACTGTCTTGGAGAATATAAAATCAGACTCTGTTTCGAAGATGAATTATTGTAATGCGAAGCTATTAGCAGTAAAGTATTGCAGGAGCATGGAGTCCCTCTGTGGCTCTATAGGATAAACACTGGACTACTAACTATAAGGTTGGTGGTTCAAACCCACCAGTTGCTCCTTGGAAACCCTCTACGGGGCCACTATGAGTCAGAACCAATGACAGCACTAAACAACACCACCATTGCTGGAGCATAAAAGATGTGTGTGTGAGCTTTCAGCAAAGGCAAGGAATGATAGAAGAGATGTTCACAATGTAATAGGTTATAAACTTAGACAATAACAGCATTCTAAAAGACCACAAAGCTGACACTCTACTCTGTAGGTATGGAAGAACAGTGTTATTGAGTACAGAAGAGAAGGTCAAATTTGCATTTAAAGCAATACTCTGGAAACAGTGTTGTGAGTAGATCTGAGAAATGCAAAGTCAGGGGAAGAGAAACCAATTTGGAGAAGACTTCTGCTCTGTTCTTAGTACCAGATGGTTGTTCATACTTGTTCACTGATTAACAGACATAGCTAAAGTTGGAGAGTTATTTCATGACACAAATAAGAGTCAAACTCAGACTTTATTCCAGGTTCTGTATCTTCCTACGGGATCTCATCAAAATCCAAACTTGGTTAATGATTGTTGTTAAGTGCTGTTAAGTCAGTTCAGACTCATAGTGGCCCTGTATAGGGTTTCCAAAGAGAGGCTGTTGATTTCGAACCACCGACCTTGCAGTTCAAACTAACCAGTGCATTATCCTGCACCACCACACCGGGACTCCATATTAATAATAGTAATAATAATAATAATAACACCCATTTTGAGCACTCATTATGTACAAGACTCTGGGCTTAGGGTATCACATTTATTGTTTCATTTAATCTTCACAAGAACCCAAAGAATAGCATTGTTATTTCAAATTTACATATAATGACTGTGGGCTCAGTGAAGTAAGGTGATCATTGAAGGTCCCACAATTAGTAAGTGGCAGAGTGGGGGCTTGAATACAGATCTATGTGTCCCCAAAGGCCCTGCCCTCAATCATTTTGTGGGACTGATTAACCTACAGAGTACAGCAGCACCCATCCCATTGTGCCTGGTCTACACTGTTGCATTCCAAATATGGTTCTGAATATGCTCAGACC